TCAGCTTTCCTGCTCCTCTGATGCTGCCCTGCCTGCTGTGTTCCTCCAGCTCCACACTTATCTCAGACTCCAGTGTTAACCCAGCCTGGCCTGCAGATGGGGCAAAATCTGCATTTCCATTGCACAGGTGTTGGAGGAGCTTTCTCCAAAACACCCCTCATCCACTGGAACATGTGCACTGATGTGATGCCGTAAACACCGCAGCCAATTTATGCACAGCAAGATCCCAAAAACAGCAAGGGTTTAAGAATCGGAACCTTCAGTTCTTTAGTGTTGTTGGTTGAGGGATAAGCCTTGGCCCCAAGACTCCAGGCAAAACTTCTGCTCAAATAGCGGCCATGGCACCTTCTACACCCTGCCCGTCAGGGCGGCGCTCCCTCAGCGCTGATCTAGCCTCTGGCTGAATCTATTTTACAAGGTATTATAGTTTCGGCTGCAGATGGTGACAGATAGGTAGGGGGTGTGGGGGTCCGGAGGGGGTGACAGAGATAACGAGAGCGTGTGGGTGCTGGAGGTGGTGACAGGCAGGGAGGAGTGAGATGGAATGTGTGAAGTTGGGTTTGTAATTGGTAGCTGCAGGGACACACAGTGTTGAAATATACAGCCTGATGCCCCCATTCCCTTTACCTTGATGCTAGCCTCTGTCGTTCTTGCCGGTGTTGTATTGGCCGGTTGGTCTTTGATGCGTTCCTCATCATCGGATGAAGTGTCGGAATGGTAGTCGGACGTACTGCACTCGGAACTTTCGGCTTCATGCTCCGAGTCTAACGAGGACACTCTCCTGGATTCCTGTTTAAACTGAGCCACGGTGAACGGCTGGCTGCTCTCTCCAGACCTATACAGAGTCAGAGTTGCACAGTCCCTCAGTTCAGGCTCTGTCCTTAACCGCCCCGGGCCCAGCCTGTGCTGTTTCTCTGAAAGATCTGTTCAGTTCGCCCCCACTTCAACGCCCCACCACCTCTTTTTCCCTCCCCCTTCATGTACCTTAGTCACCAACCCCCCATTTCGAAAATCCACACAGACTGAAGCCCCTCAGCCCCAGTTTATGAGTCACACTTCCCTCTGAAGGCTGGACGATCAGAGACTTGGGGGGGTGGGGAGTGGCAGCAAAGTGGAGTTGAGGGTTATCAGATGAGCTACAATCTCATCGACCGGCGCAGCAAACTTGATGGGCTGAATGGCCTATTTCTGCTCCTAAATCTTAGGGCCGATCGGCAAAGGTGTGGTGCCCAGAGTGGGACGCAGTATTCCAGGAGAAGGTGGACTATAACAGACCCACCAGAGGCTCGATTCTCACCTGCACCACACCTCGCTGGGGTCGATCCACAAAGTGATCTCCTTGGGGAGTCTCAACTGGTTATACTCCAGGCCACAGTCTTGACAAGCAAGCAGCAGTGACGGGTCGGTTTTCTGTTTCCTGTTAATCCGAATGCATCTACCGAGGGGGAGAGAGAGAGGATACCATCAGAATTCTGCCGAGTCTGTTTCCAAATACCGAGGAAATCCTAACGTCCCCCCACCCCCCCCCTCCCCCGCCCCCCCCTCCCCCCACACCCCCCCCCCCCCCCCCCTGCCCCGACACCCCCTTCCCCATCTCTGTAACCTCCTTCGGCCCCTACATCCCTCTTAAGTCCTCCATGCTTCTCCAATTCCGGCCTCTCAAGCGCGGCCAATCACCATTGACTGCTGTACCTTAAACTGCTTGGAGGGCCCCGACATGTGGAATTTGCCCCCGAAACCTCTCCACCCCCATCTGTCTCACCCCCTCCTCTTTAAATGCGGCCCTTAAAAGCTGAGCTCCTTTGCTTGATCTTATGAGCCGGTCGCGATGATCCCGTGAGACTTGGCAACAAACTCTGACTCCCGGAAAACACAGAACATTTCTGTGCCAACGCCGTAGGCGCTATAGGAATGCAGGCCTTTGTTGTTGTGCCCTTCCTTGTATTGAGGGGCTCCGGCCATTTGATGGAGCCACAATTGAGCGCATTGGTTTGAACCTTGAGAAACACCACCCGCCACTGCAGGGAGACCTTGGCTCAACATCGGCAATTCAAAAACATGCATTTCGCTAGCGCCTTTCACTGCCTCAGGGAGTGCCAAAGCGCTTCAGCCGCCGAACTAGTTTTATTTACATTAAGCATAACGTAGGCGAAGCAACCAGTTTCTTAACAGCAAGCTCCCGCGACGTTATTACTACCTAGATCTTGTTTCTGTGTAAAGTTTTTGTTGAGATAAATAGCTGGCCCAGGACACCAGGGGAGGACTGCACCTGTTCTATTACACCCACCTGAAGGGGTAAATGGACGCCTGGTATTAGCGGCTGACCTGAAAGATGCCCCAGTCTCCCCACATTAGTTCCCAGCTCTGCTGCTATAAGTTTTGTTTTGCATTTTCAGGCTTATGTTTGTCAAAAGGAGACTCAGCTTCTCGAGTCAGCCTCTCCAAGGTCCTGTCTGCTCTCTCAGGTAGCCCCAAGACAATCCAAAACATCACAATGAAAGTAACAGCTTTCTGGCCTATTTTCTCTGAGGATGGATGTTCTAGCTACAAAGGGTGTGAAGTGAAGTGAAGGTTTACCAGACTGGTTCCTTGCAATGGCAGGGCTGATGTATGAAGAGAGACCTGATGGGATAAGACAATATTCACCAGAGTTTGAAAGAGTTCAGGAAGTGGGGATGGGGGTCTCATGGAAACTTCTGGAGTTTCTGAAGGACTAGACAGGATAAACACAGGAAGGACATTCCCAATTACTGGACGGTCCTGAAACAGGAATCATGGTCTAAGGAAACAGAGTAGGACTGAGATGAAGAGAAATGTCTCCACCCAGAGACTGGGGAGCCTGTAGGATTCTCTGCTACAGAAAGCGGTCAAACATTTAATGTTCTTGAGAAGGATTTAGATATGGTTCTTAGGGGCTCAAGGGATCATAGGCTATGGGGGAAGAAAGTGGGAACGGAGGACTGAGTTGGATGATCAGATTGAATGGTGGAGCAGGCTCAAGGGGCTGAATGGCCTATTCCTACTTCAATTTCCTGTGTTTCAATAACTCCTTCCCATTGAGGGTCCCTCCCCTGTAATAACTACAAAGACATAGGAGGGCTGAAAGAGGAGGAGGAGGAGGTGGGTGAGGATGAAGGGCGTGGGAGGAGCAGGGGCACCAGCAGAGGGGCCAAACAGCCTGACCCTGGGCTGTGCCATCCTCGCCGAGGCACTGGGCGGCCTTGGTGATTGGTTACCTGTATGCTTGGCCCTTGCTGGGGTTGGTCGGATACCAGTGGCCCTGGTATCTTTGGTGAAGGACAGCAGTGAGTTTCTCGCCAAACTCCTTGACCTTCTCCTGGCCGAGTCCGCTTCGCCGGGTCACCAAGCTGACCAGAAAGATCACACCGGCTCCGATCTCCTCCTTCATCCTCCGACCTGTGGGGGTCAAAACAAACTGCGTCAGAACATGTTACTGTGGGGAGTTGGGACAAATAGCTACAACAGGTATCCAGGCCCCACTCTCTCCTTTAGAAACAAAGATGCAGCAGTAGGCCATTCAGCCCCTCAAACCTGCTCCACCATTCAATCTGGTCATGGCTTATTGTCCAATTCAGTTCCCCCCCCTTTCCCATTCTCCAACCCCTCCCCCTCACCATACCCTTTGAGCCCTTTAGCTCCAAGAACTATATCTAACAACTCCTCCTTGAAAACATTCAACGTTTTGGTGTCAACTGCTTTCTGTGGCAGAGAATTCCACAGGCTCCCCACGCTCTGGCTGAGGACATTTCTCCCCATCTCAGTCCTACCCCTGTGTCCTTTAGACTGTGACCCCGCCTCCCACAGTTCTGGGCTCCCCGCTCATCGGGAACGTCCTGCCTATATTTAGCCTGTCGAGTCCTTTTAGAATTTTATAGGCTTTCATGAGACTGCCCCCTTCATTTTTCTGAACTCCAGTCAATATAGTCCTAATTGATCCAATGTCTCTTCATACTCCAGTTCCATCATCCCAGGAATCAGTCTGGGGAAGCTTCGCTGTTCTCCCTCCATCACCAGAACATCCTTCTTCAGATAAGGAGACCCCAAACTGCACACAAATACTCCACGTGTGGTCTCACCAAAGTCCTGTACAATTGTAGCAATGCATCTGCTTACAAACGGATAATGATGAGGGCTATTTGACTACTCCAGGCATCACCACCAAGCACTGCGTGACATGCTCCTTAAATTCCATCTTACACTCAACCTTGTTAAGCCCCTGTTGGATTGCAGCCTGAGAGCACTGCGCGCAGTTCTGGTCTCTGTACTATAAAAATATAACTATATAGAGGCACTGGAGAGGATACACAGGACATAGCAGGGAATTTCTACAGAAATGCCAGAGTTTACAAATAGAACACTCTGGGAATCTCCCCCTCCTGAAAACCGAAAGTTGAAGGGTGACCTCACTGAGGTTGTAAAAAATGAGGTGTGGTCTTGATAACACTGATTCCAGGAACACACTTCCCCTTGGTGGGGCGTGGGGACCAGAATGAGGGGCCAATTGATAGAAGACAGTCCCAAAAACACCCAATTGGGAACTTGAGAGAAATATCGTCCCCCAGATTGTGGGGGTTGGGAATGTGGGCCTCGCTCCCACTAGACCATAATATATGCCAGTAGAATTAGGCCATTCAGCCCATAGAAGTCTGCTCTGCCATTCAATCATAGCTGATCTGTTTCTCAACCCCATTCTCCTACCTTCTCCCCTTAACCCTTGATCCCTTTACTAACCAAGAACCTGTCTGTCTTAAATACATTCAATGACTTGGCCCCCATAGTCTTCTGCAGCAGCGAGACCCACAGATTCACCACCGTTTGGCTTAAGAAATTCCTCCTCATCTCAGTTTGAAACGGTCGTCCCTTCACTCAGACTGTGCCCTTGGGTCCCAGTCTCTCCTACTAGTGGAGACATCCTCTCCACATCCATTCTAACCAGGCCTCTCTGTTGTGTAAGTTTCAACCTCTCCTCATCCTTCTAAACTCCATTGAATGCAGACCCCGAGTCCTCAGCTGCTCCTCACATGACAAGTCCTTCATCCCCAGGATCATTTTCGTGAACCTCCTCTGGATCCCCTCCGAGGCCAGCTAATCTTTCCTTAGATACGGGGCTCAAAACTGCTCACAATATTCCTAATGCGGTCTGACCAGAGCCTTGTACAGCCTCAGCAGTACATCCCACTCTCTGAACACACCTTAGTCAACCCCAGGCTGAGTGTCCAGCTCGGAGTGTGTAGGACACTCCCTTTGAAGGCTTGTGCTGGAGGCTACTCGAGTCCTCAACCCAAGATTATTGTCATAGAGTTTAAGAACACAGAAAGAGGCCCTTCAGCCCAATGTGTCTATACTGGTCATCAAGAAACGACCTACTTGAATCCCATTTCCCAGTACCTGGTCCGTAGCCTTGTAGACGATAAACAGAGGATTCCGCAACCACTGTTTAGAAATAAAGAAAACAGAAGGAGTAGGCCATTCAGCCCTTCAATCTTCTTGTACAACTCAACTTGATCGTGGCTGATCATCCAACTCAGTCCCCCCCATTCCCAATTTCCCTATATCCTTTGATTCCTTTAACTCCAAAAAAACTCTACTTAATTCCTTCTTGAAAACAGTCTTAATTGCTTTCTGTGGGAGAGAACTGCACAAGCTCCCCGCATTCCAGATGATGATGTGTCTCCTCATCTCAGTCCTACCCTGTATCCATAGGCCATGACTCCCCAGTCATCAGGAACATGTGTTTACCCTGTCTGGTCCTGTTAGAATTTTATAGGTTTCTGGGATACCCCCAGCTCATTCTTCTAAACTCCATTGAATACAATCCTAACCAATCCAGTCTCTCTTCATATGTCAGTCCTGTCTTCCCAGGATAGTGATTTGGTGGGGGATCTCCCTGGGTTCCTGAGGTTGACATTAATCCCTCAACCTAAAAAACAAGGGATGATCTGGATCATTCTGTGGGAGCTTACTGTGGCGTTTCCCCATATTGCTACAGAAAGACACTCCTTCAAGAGACCTCCAGGCTTTAGGATATCCCAAAAGTGGTGGTAAATCCACCAGTCAATGCTGGTGCCAACATCTGACGGTCCCCCCCCGTCCCCGCCCCCTGTACCTGCCCCCCCCCGGGCCCGCCCCCCCCCCCCTCCCCCCCCCCCCCCCCCCCCCCCCCCCCC